AATGTTTTGAGAACGAGGATGGCAACATATGTACAAATGTGCTTGACAAAATGGATGGATGTATGGATTGTGATAAGAGTTGTACAAGCCCCCAATAACATTAAAAAAAGAAACATATGCAGAAAAATAGATGCAGAAAACTTAAAAGCTGAGAGTCATGTAAGAACCTCAGAGGAAGATAAAGATTGGAGTTACCTCCAGAAAGGCAGGGATTGAACTACTGTGAGTTCCAAACCTTGGCATCCCAATACATTTTTTTTTCTTCACTTGACTTTTTTTTCCTTTTTACATTATTGATATGATATAATTTCCCCTCTGAGGAAGACAAACATGATGTCATATTAATTAGGCTTTTAAAAATAGATCCCTGATTGTTTGGGTGTACCAGACCCCTGATTGTTTGGGGGTACAACATGGTAAATCTGGATCTGTGTGGAAAAGAAAGAAAAATATGCATTTGCAGAGACAAAGGGAGATGTGCTGATCATTGCGTGACGGGCTTTCCATAATTTTGTCAACTAATCCTAACAGCCGAAGATACATATTAACACAAAAAAAAGAGATTCAATCAACTTCTTTTCCAAGAATGCCAAAGTTACACATGACTAATATCAAGCCACTGGGCATCTCCAGAGGCTTAAGCATTGCCAGCCTCTAACCCCAAAGGTAATTTCCCAGGACCCTGGGCACAATGGTGTTATCTGTGAAGGAGTCATGGGCAAAGAAGAACCAGGCAGATAGAGGGAACTGAGGTTTTGTTTACATCAGCAGATACCTGAAACCACCAGCCAACCACCCAAAAGCTGGCTGATGATGATGAAGAACGGTGTTCAACGGAAAACACTACAGCGGCTCAAAAAGAATGAAGTCAACTGGTGTGTGCTACGGTGGAGAGATGTCCGGGTATTTCAAGCAATGAAAACAGCAAGGTCCAAGGGAGAGACAGAGAGCTCTTTGCAGTCACATAACTGATAAGGGTGGATGAATGTGGAGAGGTTAAAGTCCATGACTCGGGCTGGGTCAGGGGCAGAAACTGATATGCAGGTGAGAGGTGACCCTTTCTTGGAGCCTATCATTCCTTTGGCCCGTTATAGACAGTCTCCTTATTGAGTCTCTTCTTGGAGCTTCTATCAAACCATGACGCCTCTCCCCACGTCCACCTGTACGACGAGGAACATCACAGGGAGACCTGGGCTTTCTTCTTTCTTCTATCACTAAATAATACATTTTGGGTCCATGATGCCTGCTGCAAACACCTCTCTTGGGCCAGGATTACATTTATATATAAACCAGAAGTCCTAGAGCCAAGACCTAAGCCCCACAAGATTCACTATGCCCAAGTACTTGGAGGCCAAGATAGAAAGTCGGATATTATCTGCTAGAAGTCCATTTGCATGGGAAATTGAGGAACAAGATGATAATGATCATGGTAATGGTAATAGTAATGATAAGAGCTAATTCCTGAAAAAAAAAAAAAAGCTAATTCCTATGATGACTTACCATGGACCAAGATGATAATGATCATGGTAATGGTAATGGTAATGATAAGAACTAATTCCTATGATGACTTATCATGGACCGGACACTGTTATCAACAACCATGTGGGTACTACTATACCCAGTTAAAAGATAAGGAAACTGAGATGCTGGAAGTAACGCAACAGAGCTGGAAAGGGATTGAATTCACACCCAGACCTCTTGACTA